CTAGACTATAGACTAGACTATAGACTAGACTATAGACTAGACTATAGACTAGACTAGACTATAGACTAGACTAGACTATAGACTAGACTAGACTATAGACTAGACTAGACTATAGACTAGACTAGACTATAGACTAGATAGACTAGACTATAGACTAGACTATAGACTAGACTATAGACTAGACTATAGACTAGACTATAGACTAGACTATAGACTAGACTATAGACTAGACTATAGACTAGACTATAGACTAGACTATAGACTAGACTATAGACTAGACTATAGACTAGACTATAGACTAGACTATAGACTAGACTATAGACTAGACTATAGACTAGACTATAGACTAGACTATAGACTAGACTATAGACTAGACTATAGACTAGACTATAGACTAGACTATAGACTAGACTATAGACTAGACTATAGACTAGACTATAGACTAGACTATAGACTAGACTATAGACTATAGACTAGACTATAGACTAGACTATAGACTAGACTATAGACTAGACTATAGACTAGACTATAGACTAGACTATAGACTAGACTATAGACTAGACTATAGACTAGACTATAGACTAGTATAGACTAGACTATAGACTAGACTATAGACTATAGACTAGACTATACTAGACTATAGACTAGACTATAGACTAGACTATAGACTAGACTATAGACTAGACTATAGACTAGACTATAGACTAGACTATAGACTAGACTATAGACTAGACTATAGACTAGACTATAGACTAGACTATAGACTAGACTATAGATTAGACTATAGACTAGACTATAGACTAGACTATAGACTAGACTATAGACTAGACTATAGACTAGACTATAGACTAGACTATAGACTAGACTATAGACTAGACTATAGACTAGACTATAGACTAGACTATAGACTAGACTATAGACTAGACTATAGACTAGATATAGATAGACTATAGACTAGACTATAGATAGACTATAGACTAGACTATAGACTAGACTATAGACTAGACTATAGACTGGACTATAGACTAGACTATAGACTAGACTATAGACTAGACTATATACTAGACTATAGACTAGACTATAGACTAGACTATATACTAGACTATAGACTAGACTATAGACTAGACTATATACTAGACTATAGACTAGACTATAGACTAGACTATAGACTAGCCACTAGTTTAGTCTATCGCCTATAATCAACTATATTCCAAACTGCTATTCTTTTCAAAAAGAATAATTAAACAAAATTGCACTTTTTATAACAATTTAAGGGAATTGTTATCTTTGAAGTTTTTTCACCAAACATTTAGTAGTAATTGAGACATATCCGTATTTATGAATCATAGAAATACTTAGTAGATAATACTTAAGAAAAATGTAGAACTTAAATGCTTTGAAGTTGTCTATGAGAAAAGCGCTTCCAACAACAGACTAATACCCATAAGCACAAATACTCAGATTACACATAAAAACAAAACTGAAGTATTCTCTAACTAAAATTTCTAAGGACAATAGAAAAATAGACAAAATAGAGCGGTTATGTGTGGATATTTTTTGTTACCAAAAGTATCGAGCTACATACAAATATATACTATTCATAAGTACACATAGAAGTGTCTCTGTATCTATTAAACTCTGTATAGTTAGTGGTTGCTTGGTTTGGTTGGTCGGGTTGATGATGCTAAAGTTTTTTTCTTTGTTTAATGTTTTGCGTCTATTAGTTTTTTCCCCATTTATAGCAAATATATATGTATGGCTGTGTAATTGTGTTTCCCTATATACTATGTCTGTATGTTGTATATGTCAATGTTCTGTCGGTCAAAAACTCAAAGAAAGCAAGTATGGTTCCAAAAAAAGCCATTTTCATTTGCTCTAATTGTGCTTAATTACTTTCAAAAAGTTTTCAGATTTTTTTTATCCGTTTGTTTTTTATCTTTTCTGTGTATTTTACTCTAGTTACGAGTATATATAGTATAGTAGTAGAATAAAATAAAAGTTGTTTGCTGTTTGAAAAGCGTTAAGTTAGATCTTTTTGTTTTTTTTTTTTTTTTCTAAAAAAAAAAAACAGAAAAGTTAATTTATTATAAACTGTAAAGATAATAAAAGAGAAAAACGAAAAATTGAGTTCATTCATACATACCCATACATAGAAAGATATGTATGTATGTATATAAAGTGATTTGGGGTTTTACTTTGTAAGAGTCCCGGTAGTTTAAGATGAATATAACGAACTAGTGAGTTTTGCATAGGGTTGGCTCTGGTTCCAGTATTAGGTATCTAAAAACACTGTCATAAAAGGATACACAGACAATTTGCAAACTATTGGGCCGTGTTAAATTTGCTATGTGAATATATGGTATTGTTATCACAAGTAAAATAAATGAATGGTTTTTTTAAGTTTTAAACTGAAATTATTTAATTGGATGTAATTAAAAGAAGTTGTACAATTTATATAAAATTTAAATAATAGCAATTCATTTTATATTATTTAGATTTAAAATGGTGTACAAAGTACTAATAAAATAGTCTTTATAATAGACCTACATATATCTGTATAATCCACCTATAGTGTGTACCAAGATGAATGATAAAAACACCTAGTAAACAAGTAAGAGTAAACAAGCATGATCGACCATGTGAGTAGTGGATTGTTTTTAATAATTAAGCATTTAAGTTATTTTCTGCCTTAATTTCGAAATATTTTAACAATTTGTTGACAAGACGACCTTTTATATGGGCTAGGGTCAAATGAAGCTCGAATCTTGGGGGTAACACAGATTCGAAACAAAGATGTAGCAATTTTTTGTAGAGATATTAGAACATTTAACATAATTATGATCTCATGAGTACCATTTGGGTGAAATAATGGACCATTTGTCTGTTGGAACCTACTAAACTGTCGCAGATTTTGAAGGTGTTTGAAGAATACAAACTTCCCTTTTTGGGACTGTGTGAAAAAAATAAACTGACAATGGTGTGCTGAACGATGATTCCACTTGCATCACTTCGGGAAAAACTTCGGAGTTGTCAAGATCCAATAGGGTTAGCTTAATCCTTATGATATGGAATCTCAACTCGTATCGAATCTTATACATTCACCTAAATACTTGTGCTGAATACTATATTCCAATGAAATCAGTTGGTATTACGAAAAAAAAAAATTTAGAGCTAGCTGGAGGACATTATAGGACAAATCCCAAGTGGCGTTAGTTTGTTACTTATCGGTAATTTAAATGCATAATTTTGCGATTGCACGGATTAAGTAATACAAATGTAATTGGGGATTGGTAAGAGGAACATGATTGGAGTTCGTAAGATTATATGGATTTCGCCTGATCATCGAACGTAAACGCAGATTAATCATCTAGCCATAAACAGAATATGGTACCGCTCAATAGAGAATGTTCGCAACAGACGCTGTGCAGATGGATGTAAAGATCATAATCTACTCATTGGGCAATTTAGGCTGAAAATAGAGGCAATCCATCTATGTAATATAGATACACTGTCGAGAAAATATGATGTGCACAATACGTGGCAATACGTTATGAGTAAATAACTGAACAGAATAGAATGAATAATAATAAAGTAGATTTTCAATGAGAGCGCGAATCAACATTAAGTCCAACATATTGGACTTAAACAAAAAAATCATAAAGCCTAGATATCTGATTAAACGTGAAATCTAATCCAGGAAAGAGTCCAAATGAAAACAGCTGTAAATACTGATAAAACCAGATATTTTCAGGCATATCATCAGTCAAAATATATAGATCGTATAGTAAAGAGATCATGAAGGGGGTGTATTAGAGATCTGTAGAAAATAGCAAAGAAGATCACAGTAAACAAACGCTTCACTGAAAGACCCATTGGGTGGTAATACGTTAAATGAACAGCGTTAACTGGAAATAGGCTCAGACACAATACAATGCTATCGATGTTTAGAATACGAAGATGATCCAACCCAAAATATTATTTTTTTACGTTATTTAAAAAGTAGATCTGTAGAAAATAGCAAAGGAGATCACAGGAAACAAACGCAACCATTAATATTCACTGAATGACCCATTGACAGCGTTAACTGGAAATAGGCTCAGACTACTGTGCCGATATAATGGAAATAATGGAAGCCATCACAATACAATGCTGTCGATGTTTGAAATACGAAGATTATCCAAACCATAATATTCTCTTTTTACGTGTTAAAAAGTATTTCCAGTGCTTCTCTAAATTAGGCGTATACTTAATATTTGTATTAGCAATAAATCATTAACACGTATACGTACAGGTGTCGTTAATAAAATCAGTGCAATTTCGTAATGTAAAACTTTCCACTTGAATTAAAATAAAGGAAGATTGCATTTTTTGATCGTATGCGAGATATGAGCCTAAGGAAATGATCGCACCAATGCCCATACCATATTTTTATCATGTAGTCGTACATACATACATATATGGTTTTCCATGACTTAAAAAATTGCACACAGTGTAATTGAGTAATCTGTAGGAAACGTTCCTGAGGAGATGATTGTATTCCGCGGCTTATATCGTAATGCAACTTGAAGTGTATCTTTGAATTCAAGATAGGTGCTGGAGTTACTAGACATGCTAATAAAACAGGCAACTAGCACTAGGAGAGGCATTACATTACACTTAAATGGGCGTCTAGATTTAGAATAAATAGTCTCGAAATGGAAAAGGTGTAATATTTTGTATATGTATACTTAATAAGAAATGAAATTTTAAAACTTCAGTATTATTTAAAGATACTTTAATATGTTGTCCTTTTTAAATTTGCTTATTTTGAATCTAGCAAATTAAACATGAAAAACAAAATCACAACCTTCAATCACAACTTTAAACGAGGACAAACTTGGTTTAAATAAAACTCATATACACTTTTTTCAAATTAATACAAAAAAAAAAAAAAGATTTTCAACATGTATGTTTCCATGTATATCTGTGAATATAAAAGTATGTTTTTATGTTTCACTCACCTTAATTTCCAATGTTGCTGGCTGAGAGTCAAAATGAAATTTGGCACGTGAACCAAACACTTCTGGCGCTGACCAATGCCGTGCCTGGTCACTGTTCATTTTATCTCGTACATCAAAGCTGCAAGAAAAAAACACAAATAAAAGAAAAATAAGTGTATGAGCAAAAAAAAGTGAAAATTGAGGAAAAGAAAACGAATTAAAAGTGTAACAAAAAAAAAAAATCCCAAAAAATTCTAGTTAAAATAAATTTCCAGAAAAAACTAAAATTGTCTTTTAAAAAACGAAACTCTACCTAGTGAAACTAAATTTTGCAAAACTTGACCTGGCTAAAACGAAACGAAAAAAGCCTTAACTATGGCCAAGTGTGTGACCACAAAAAAGAAAGAACAACGATAAAAATAATTTCATTATTTCAACAAAAGAAGTAATGAGAAGTAGGATATTTTTTAAACAAAAAAACAAGAAAAGAAAACGAAAATTGCTGAGAATTGCACAGATAAACGTTACAGTAATTGAGTAATTTATTAATGGCCATGTTATACATTTTATAAATTTTTTTTATTTTTCTATTTGGATAAGACTACAAACGACCAGAGTAAAATATATATTCTAGAAGATTTAATGGCAAATAAGAAAAGTCCTAAATGTGTCAGTTTGATATTTGAGTTGTGGCACAAAGTTACACACGTACGTACAACAAATATTGCCACAATTTGTAAATGTATGTGAATATAAACCAATAAAAGTCATTATCGAATGACTTAAAAATATTTATGGGTTTATATTGGTAAGCAATTAAATACTTTGTTGGTATAAGAGATATTTAAACTAAATATATGTATAAGAGATATTTAAACTAAATATATGGAAGGACATTATTGGTTCAGGAGAAAATGGTTGAAAATATTCTATAAAATATTTTCTTATAGAAAATTTGAGTAAAAAATGAAATTTAAAGCAAAATTGTGAACATTTTTGAAAATTTTAAAAAATTTCTTGATAGTTTCAAAAATTTGTCCTCTCTTTTCGAATATTATTTTCTTTTATAGAAAATTTTCGCAAATTTATACTTTTATAGAAAATTTTTGAAAATTTAAACTTTTCTCTTTTTATGGTAATTTATCGTAAAATTTATCCTTTTGTAGAAAACTGATATAAAGAAAATTTAAAATTTGTTCCTCTGCCGACTGTTTAAAAATATCTTGTAAACATTTAACAATTTAGCGCTTTAAAATCTTTACTCTAAACTTTGTAGTGTTTATAAAACAAAATGTTTTCCCATTTAAACAGCCGACAATTAAGCGAATCTTTAAAATTAAACTAAAGTTGAAAAAAAAAATTAAACAAAACTACTCCAACGACTGATTTAAATGGATGGACAACAATAAAGCAACCAAGCATACTTGTATTCATGTTGCAAAATACGGAAGAGTGAAAAAAGCCGAATAAGTAGAGGGGTAAGAAGAATCTAGAAAAAACAACAACAGTAAATTGGGTTAACAACTAAGGATTTACATGCAATTAAGTTGTTACCGTGTAGACATACGACTACAAATATAAACATACATACTACTACTGCTAACAAACACCCATATGTAAACTTCTATGTTTGAGAACACATATACATATATACGTACATCTATACATAAGTATTTTAAAACATACATCACTTATACCCACATATGTATAAATAAGTTTCCGTATCTATGTGTGTATGCATATGTATTTATGTATGCTTCAAAGTACAAGAACAATACGTTTGTTATCAAAAAGGCTACAAAACGGTAAATGAAGGAGCAACAGCCTTCTAAGTAGTATGTATTTTTAGCTAGGATATATGTAGGTACATACCTACATACATAACAAGTGGTATTCAACATGAAAATATAGAGACAGACAGATAGCATACATACATATGATAGTGATAGCGGTTGTAGTCATATTAATGTTTCAAAATAGGGAAAATACTTGTATACATTCGTATATAAGAACATGAGTACACTAAACGCCTACTCATTGCCGGGGTACGTACAGCGACTATGTCTATTTGAAAATGCTGTTTTCCAGCGTATTTAATGAATAAAATCTTATAAGGGTTGCCATCATTAGAGGTGTATATTGACATAAATGACTTAATGGGAATTAATTAATTAATTTAGATGATGTACGTATGTACGAATAAAGAAAAGTGGGTTTCGGGTATATGATAATTACAATGAATTAAAGTAATACCTGTTGAAGGAAGTCCATTTCCCATATGATCCTTTGGACAGGATTATAATTATTTTTTATTATATATCCAAGAGAAATGCATTTTGAAAAAGTGAACTAGAACTGAACTAGAACTGAACTAGAACTGAACTAGAACTGAACTAGAACTGAACTAGAACTGAACTAGAACTGAACTAGAACTGAACTAGAACTGAACTAGAACTGAACTAGAACTGAACTAGAACTCAACTAGAACTGAACTAGAACTGAACTAGAACTGAACTAGAACTGAACTAGAACTGAACTAGAACTGAACTAGAACTGAACTAGAACTGAACTAGAACTGAACTAGAACTGAACTAGAACTGAACTAGAACTGAACTAGAACTGAACTAGAACTGAACTAGAACTGAACTAGAACTGAACTAGAACTGAACTAGAACTGAACTAGAAAAAACTAGAACTGAACTAGAACTGAACTAGAACTGAACTAGAACTGAACTAGAACTGAACTAGAACTGAACTAGAACTGAACTAGAACTGAAATTGAACTGAACTCTAACTCAAGTAGAGCTGAACTAAAATTTAGGCAGAATAGTTTTAATGTTAGCGTTTCCTGGCATTAATTCCTCAATTTGGAGTAGTAGTGCATCTTGTCGCTTTAGCAACTCTATAACTTTAAAATTTCACATGAGAAACAGAAGGCCTAAATACGTAAATTGTGTTGTAAATATGAAAATAGCTGCAGCAAAAAAAGCAGCATCAACTACTCATATTCATACAATAACAAACATTAAGTTATGCTTGATATTTAGTTACATATGTTTTTAAGGGATCTTATATTATGAATAAGTATTAACTTTACACACACTTTAAATTATATACATACACAGAGAAAGCAGTAAGGATGCCTCACAATCTATTAATTTTTTACTCTTCTAAAAAGAGTTTAGTTTTTAAGCCATCGATGTGTAGTTATCACTTTTGCCACTTACTAGTGTAGTAGTAGCAAAAGTAAAAAATAGTATGAAGATACAACATATTTTTTAAACTAAATTTATTATTTTGGGGCAGGTCTAATGTACATAGCTATATTAGTATGTTATGAATGCCAACAAGGAAACACAACTGTTATTTGCGTGCTATTTTGCTAAGGAGGAATAAAAAAACAACGAATAAAACCCCTTTCTACGAATTTAAATGATTGCGAATTTTTAGGCGTTTTTGAACACAAACAATGCGACTATGAATGAAGGTTTAATGTTAACAAAATCGCATAGAAATACATACAGATATAAATATGTACAAATATGTATAAACCTACACAAGGATATAGTTGTTAAGCTTATAGTTTGGCTTATGCTAAGGATTTTTCACATAATATAAATGAACAGTTTTAGTATAAAATGGGTTGAAGTGCAATTTCCGCTTAACGAAATCTCGACTATCATAATAATAGTTAGGCACAATACACATAGCCGGGGCCAAACGGATATATAATCATATTTGTAACCAATTGTTCTATATTTATGGGGGTGGGAGAAACTTTTCTGAGGTCTAGGCTGTCAGGAATTTCAATAGAAAACACTGCGGTCTTTTTATATTTATAGAAATGTGTAGATATTTTAAAAATAAACTTTTTTTATCTGCTAGCATGAGTTTAGGGAATTTAATGTATTCAAATTAGAAATCCTTGTTTTGTGGAAAATTCTATTTTTGTTGAAAAAAAAAACAAAAAAAGAAAAATATTTTTAAGTTAATTTGAGTCACGAAGAGTTTATTTTCAGTCATGTATTAAAGAGTTTATTAATGTTTTTTTTTTCGATATTTTAAAATAAATCTCTGTGGTGTTTCTGAGAAATTGTTGCAAATTTACCCACAGGGAATAATCAGTTTTACATTATTGAATCTAAAATAAAACAGTAGAAATATATATTGATGTTTAATGTAAAATATTACACAAAAAATACTTTTATAAATTAGTGATAAAAATTTGCCAGAAAAGGGTTCTTTAGCATATATTTGTATACCTAAAGTATGTTCTGAAAAAAATTATAAGAAACTTTAGCAAAATTTTTCCTTTAAACATGTTAATTAGTCTGCAGTTATACAAATATCATTGCCAAAAATCCTGCTGTGATTTTTATTACCTATAAATCTCTCTAGATTTCCTACCAGCTATTTATCGTACAAAAATCCTTTCAGCTAACATCACAAACACAACAACAGGGACAACAACAGCAACAACAACTATAATAATGCATGTTGATCTTGATCGAAATTAAAAACAAACTCACCTTAAGCACGCCCCATTATTCAACGTTAATTGGTCCTACTAAAGTTGCGTTCTCTCAGCAATACAAATGCGAGTATTGTATTCACAATAAACAAAAGCAAAATTTACATTCCTGTTGGCTGCTATTCGCATACAATTATAATAAATATTACCGTTCCTGCAACTTCGTGTCTATAAATATTTTACCAGTAGTTTGTTGCTTGCTGTTGTTTTCGTCGCTTTGTTAAGCATAAATGTGAGGGGTTAAACCCTCCTTGTTAATTCATTTTTCTTGTTTGTACAAATCATGGTGGTGGCGAAATGTCATTCATTATCAACGGTGATAGTAGCACAATGTCTGAGGTAGTATAATCATAATTACGAAAACGTATGTTGCGTATGAAAAAAAATTAAATGGTTAAGTTGGTGATTTATTTGTTTAAACACTACTACAGCGATTTGTTAAAGTGTTTTGTATTGGATAAGATATTTTTGCATGATAAATATTAACAAAGTTTTTTATATTCTGATAACATGTTGAAATAAATATTTGGGACACATCCGCAGATCACTTAAAATACACCCATAGCTGATCCCACCATACCTACTTACTTGTCTCTGGTGAAATCATA